TGGACCTGGATATACACTTATTTTGTCACTTTAACAGGGGATATTCAGTCAATTAGATGATGACATTCAGCCAATTAAGCGGGGATAGTCACTTAAAGTGGGATATTGAGATATAGTTCAGTTAATTAGATGGGGACATTCAGTAAATTGTATGTGGATATACAGTTACTTAGACGACGACATTCAGCTAACTAGATTAGGATATTGGGGGAAAGTGCGTCTCCGAATTTTAACTGGGCAGTCATATAAACGAGAATATTCAGCAAGTCGTACGTGGATATTCAGTCAATTCATACTCGTCCTACTGGTGTATGTTATTCTCCTGCATCTTCATTGATAACCATGCATAGTGATGCGGTCTGCCGCCCATTGCAAGTATTGAAATGAGAGTCCTACTTTGCTGTCACATTCACGGTACATATAACAGTACATTGCCACAACATCACACGGCAACAACTACATTACACGGTAACAGCCCACGGCCACCACATCACACGGTAAAAACACACTGACACCACATCACACGGCAACAACACACTGACACCACATCACACGGCAACAACACACTGCCACCACATCACACGGTAACACCACACACATCACACGGTAACAACCACCCCATCACACGGTAACAACCACCTGTGATGCGCTAGACATGCATGAATATGATGTGTTGCGTTAGACGTGTTAGACGTGTTGCGCTAGACATGCATGAATATGATGTGTTGCGTTAGACATGTTAGACGTGATGCGCTAGACATGCATGAATATGATGTGTTGCGCTAGACATGTTAGACGTGTTGCGTTAGATATGCATCGATATGAAGTGTGATTTGTTGCGTTAAGCATGCATGAATAAATGAAATTTTAGACATGTTGTGTTAGACATTTACGAATATGAGACATGAGATGAGTGGAGCTTGTCATTCATGTATATTAGACGTGTTTTGATTTTTAATACAGTTACACAGACTTATTTAATTCAGTGGCACTAACGTAACAATTCAGTTAAACTAACGTATTCAATTCACTTATCCTAAAGTATTAATTCAGTTACACAGGCGTGTTTAATTCAGTTAGACTAACGTATTAATTCAGTTTAAGTAACGTATTCAATTCATTTGCACTATCGTATTAATTCAGTTGCACTAACGTATTAATTCAGTTTAACTAACGTATTCAATTCAGTTGCACTAATGTATTAATTCAGTTGCACTAATGTATTAATTCAGTTGCACTAATGTATTAATTCAGTTGCACTAATGTATTAATTCAGTTGCACTAATGTATTCAAATCCGTCGAACTATCGTATTAATTCAGTTGCACTAACGTACTTAATTCAGTTGCACTATCGTATTTAATTCAGTTATGTTATCTCATCTGAATCAGTTAGAGCGACGTATTCAATTCAGTTACAATCACACATTAATTCAGTTGTAAGACTGAATCATTTGTGCGTGAAGGTGGCCATGAATAATTAAAATGATGTATGAAGAGAGGCTCAAACTCTACGGATGATGTGCACACAATTTCATTATTGTCTATAACGTTCATCTAAACTTATTTTATTTTGTTCCTCACTATATTTCAATTATTTTGTTATTCATACTTACAATCTATGAAAAATGTTGTTATTCATTCTTATTATCTTAAAATCATATTTTTATTTAATCTCATTATATTTAAACTATTTTCTAATCACCATTAAATGCTCAAGCTGGCATTCACTTTGATCATGTTATAAATTTAATTATCCAAAATAAAAAAAATATTAATGATTCTTTTATTGCTGCACACTATAATCATCTTTGCGCATCATCGTGCGCATTTGCGTGTTTTTTATCACTGCGTAGTGCGCATAATTACCGTCGATGGTGCGCATAATTACCGTCGTTGGTGCGCATAATTTCCGTCGTTAGTGCGCATAATTACCGTCGTTGGTGCGCATAATTACCGTCGTTGGTGCGCATAATTACCGTCGTTAGTGCGCATAATTACCGTCTTTGGTGCGCATAATTGCCGTCGTTGGTGCGCATAATTACCGTCGTTGGTGCGCATAATTACCGCCGTTGGTGCGCATAATTACCGTCTTTGGTGCGCATAATTACCGCCGTTGGTGCGCATAATTACCGCCGTTGGTGCGCATAATTACCGTCGTTGGTGCGCATAATTACCGCCGTTGGTGCGCATAATTACCGTCGTTGGTGCGCATAAGTATCACTTCACAACGTCACATCACCAACATGTCGGCGCGTTATAAATAACTTTATTCAATGAGGTCTTAAATAAATCTTGTTTTGAAATGAATGAGTTAACTAATGAGTTCGCTAATTAATGTATACTCTTCTTAATGAATGCTGTAGGTAAGGGGTGTCTAATAACAAGTTCGCTAATTAATGGGCGTTTAGTAGCGGATTAATGATATATTAATGAGTTGATAGTTTGTAATTTATATCATTGTCCTTAACCACATCGTGACTCGAAAGAAACAAATGTTTATAATTCGGTTCCGATATTATCTTTACGTATTATTACTTATTGCAATTTATTACTTTGCCCATACATATTACATGTATACAGATTGATTTACATGGTGAATATTGAGTACAAATGTGTATACATTAAGTTCACGTGATACACATTAAATACACATGGTACACATTAAGTACACATGATACACATTAATTACACATGGTACATATTAAATACACATGATATACATTAAATACACACATGTACATGTTGAGTACATATGCGCACCTACACGCGTCCAGTGCGTGTGGAGGAACGCCTAGTGGAGGATCATGCGTATTCATGCGTATGAGCGCATACGGTTCATACGGCGCCGCGTATTATAGCGCAGCAGTCGATATATCGAGCGCGNTGAGTACATATGCGCACCTACACGCGTCCAGTGCGTGTGGAGGAACGCCTAGTGGAGGATCATGCGTATTCATGCGTATGAGCGCATACGGTTCATACGGCGCCGCGTATTATAGCGCAGCAGTCGATATATCGAGCGCGACCTGCGCATGCAAACGCACAGCGCGCGAACTGTTTCCTGTTCATCAAACAGACGCCGTTTCCAGCGTTTAAAACAGACACCGTTTCCAGCGTTTAAAACAGACACCGTTTCCAGCGTCTAAAACAGACACAGTTTCCTGCGTCTAAAACAGACACCGTTTCCAGCGTCTAAAACAGACACCGTTTCCAGCGTCTAAAACAGACACCGTTTCCAGCGTCTAAAACAGACACAGTTTCCTGCGTCTAAAACAGACACCGTTTCCAGCGTTTAAAACATACGCCGTTTCCAGTGCAACCCTGCAGCTGCCGTGCAACCCTGCAGCTGTCGTGCAACCCTGTAGCTGCCGTGCAACCCTGTGGCTGTCGTGCAACCCTGTAGCTGCCGTGCAACCCTGCAGCTGCCGTGCAACCCTGTAGCTGCCGTGCAACCCTGTAGCTGCCGTGCAACCCTGCAGCTGCCGTGCAACCCTGCAGCTGCCGTGCAACCCTGCGGCTGCCGTGCAACCCTGCAGCTGCCGTGCAACCCTGCAGCTGCTTTGCAACCCTGCGGATGCCGTGCAACCCTGCAGCTGCTTTGCAACCCTGCGGATGCCGTGCAACCCTGCAGCTGCTTTGCAACCCTGTGTTTCTTGCCGTCTAATTTTCGCCGTCAAATGAGAAGCAAAATCAATGCTTGCGTGAGCGGCGCGTGGATGAGGCACCCCTCGCGTGGATGAGGCACCCCTCGCGTGGATGAGGCACCCCTCAAGCTGCCGTGCAACCCTGTAGCTGCCGTGCAACCCTGCAGCTGCCGTGCAACCCTGCAGCTGCCGTGCAACCCTGCCGCTGCCGTGCAACCCTGTGCTTCTTGCCGTCTAATTTTCGCCGTCAAATGAGAAGCAAAATCAATGCTTGCGTGAGCGGCGCGTGGATGAGGCACCCCTCGCGTAGATGAGGCACCCCTCGCGTGGATGAGGCACCCCTCGCGTGGATGAGGCACCCCTCGCGTGGATGAGGCACCCCTCGCGTGGATGAGGCACCCCTCGCGTGGATGAGGCACCCCTCGCGTGGATGAGGCACCCCTCGCGTGGATGAGGCACCCCTCGCGTGGATGAGGCACCCCTCGCGTGGATGAGGCACCCCTCGCGTGGATGAGGCACCCCTCGCGTGGATGAGGCACCCCTCGCGTGGATGAGGCACCCCTCGCGTGGATGAGGCACCCCTCGCGTGGATGAGGCACCCCTCGCGTGGATGAGGCACCCCTCGCGTGGATGAGGCACCCCTCGCGTGGATGAGGCACCCCTCGCGTGGATGAGGCACCCCTCGCGTGGATGAGGCACCCCTCGCGTGGATGAGGCACCCCTCGCGTGGATGAGGCACCCCTCGCGTGGATGAGGCACCCCTCGCGTGGATGAGGCACCCCTCGCGTGGATGAGGCACCCCTCGCGTGGATGAGGCACCCCTCGCGTGGATGAGGCACCCCTCGCGTGGATGAGGCACCCCTCGCGTGGATGAGGCACCCCTCGCGTGGATGAGGCACCCCTCGCGTGGATGAGGCACCCCTCGCGTGGATGAGGCACCCCTCGCGTGGATGAGGCACCCCTCGCGTGGATGAGGCACCCCTCGCGTGGATGAGGCACCCCTCGCGTGGATGAGGCACCCCTCGCGTGGATGAGGCACCCCTCGCGTGGATGAGGCACCCCTCGCGTGGATGAGGCACCCCTCGCGTGGATNTTAACTTAAATAAATAGCGAAAGAGATACATTTTCCTTGCGTCGTTCTAATTGCATTGTCTGCATCATCATTGCGATGCATCATCTTTCATCATTATATGGAAATGATGAAACAGCGAGTGGAGATTGAACATCAAATATTCATTAGCTGTCTCTTATACACATCTAGATGTGTATAAGAGACAGCCTCAGCTCCCCACCCCCAAAGCCCCCCTCCTCAATGCCTCCCCAACCAGCACCCTGGGCTTCTTCCCCTCACTTCCATGCCTCACATGATCCCCTCCTCTCAAATGCCTCCTCATATCCCCATCTCCACTCCTATTCCCCACTCCATGGCCCACTCCATGCCCCCCCATTCCCTCCCCAACATAACATCAGCGGCCAACAATCCCATGTCGAGCCCCAGACATCATGGCAGCATCATGTCGTCAGGGCAGCACATGACACATGCCCCTCCTCCACCTCCTCCTGCCCCTCATGATGGATCCCCCCACCAGGCACCCCTCACCCCCCTCTCTAACACCCCATCCCATCCCACCACCCCCACCACCTTGGAACTCCCTAGCTCCTTGATACCGCCTGTACAACACCAACACCAACTCCAACAACACCACCAGCACCACCAACAACAACAGCAACACCACCAACAACAACTACACCAACATCTACAACACCTACCACCCGTTATCCCCCACCATCATCACCATCACCACCATCCCGCCAACTACTTACCACCATCGTCGGGGTCACCGAGTACTTCCTCATCCTGCGGGGACGTGTCAATGGGGAGCCAGGGGACGGCCTCCCCACACCACTGGGACATGAAACCATCCTACATGTATCCCTGGTACTCCTCCGACAACCACAACCTACTTACATAGGCCTAGTAAACTTCGGTTGAATTTGGATTAACACGTATAAGTCCACGGTCACGCTGCAGGCCCCGCCCACCGCAGCTAGCTCCGCCCACAAGCTGAATGTTCACAGGTTGCCGGGGTTCGAACCCATGGCTCGCAGCTGCCATCCTGTTGCCGGTTGACCACTCAACCGATGCAAAAGTTGTTGTTATGGCGTGAATGGACCACTAGTAAAGACACTAGTGCATGTAACTAACTACCACTAGCTGCATAACTAAATTGTTAATAAGCCTTTCAGTTACTAAATAATTACGCTAGCCTTCAAGTAACAGAGAATTAACAGGGAATCATAATGTAATTTTGCAGCTCATTCACTAGTTACCCAACCATCAATTGCTAAGTAACTAAATTATTACTGAAGTGTTTCAGTAACTAAATTATTACTGAAGTCTTTCAGTAACTAAATTATTACTGAAATGTTTCAGTAACTAAATTATTACTGAAGTCTTTCAGTAACTAAATTTTTACTGAAGTCTTTTAGTAACTAAATTTACTGAATTGTTTCAGTAATTAAATAATTGCCCAAGCCTTTTCTTAATTAAGAAAATAAATCATTTTATATGAGCATCCGTACCGCTTCTACATAGANTAACAGCGAATGTCGCCTCACAAACAGCGAATGTCAGCAAGTAACAGCGAATGTCGCCTCACAAACAGCGAATGTCAGCAATTAACAGCGAATGTCGCCTCACAAACAGCGAATGTCAGCAATTAACAGCGAATGTCGCCTCACAAACAGCAAATGTCAGCAATTAACAGCGAATGTCGTTGCGCCAGAATCTTAAAGGAAGCTGTCAGTATCGCAGGCGTCAGGCGCTGGCCCAATATTTTATTTTTATTGTCGTTGTAATTTTATAGCAAACGAGGCCCCCTCAGGGCCACCGGGGGCCGGTCCCGCCAGAACTGCAAGTCATCCTCTCCCCTCCATCTTGTGCGACTATGTGGTAATGATAGAATACTTAGAGCAACTAATATCATCATGATGGAAATTGTATAATAAATACAGTAATTATTTGGAAGTTTTTAAAGTAAATACTAAAATATTTTGTATTTGAGGTCAATAATATTCGAATGATAGGCTTTGCTCATGTAAAGGATTGACATGAAAAATTTTTGTCCGATGATGATGTAATACAATGTGATGATATTCTGATGATAGGCTAAATGGATGGCAATCCCGATGATGCGATGAACTAGAAATGATATAAGCGTCAATGATTGGTGTGGCAATGACCAATCGATGATTGTTGCCGTAGATAAATGATAACTGCTGATAAAATAACACGGGAATATTATTTGAATGCACACATGAAGTTCAGTTTCAGTTGTGAATGAAACTGTAGGAACATCATTCATGTGATGATAATATATACTACGCTATCTCAACTTATACAACTACACATGGCATATATACAGCACGCTTGTATATATCAACAAGCGAGCTGTATTATACACAACACAGTCAAAATTCGCTAAAGTAGAACATATTTCTTAAACACATTAACCTGTACGTACATGTGCAACGATTATAGGGGATAACTGTTTTTTATAAACAGTAACATAAGCGCGTTAAACTTTTCCAATTAATTTTATTTCATTAATAAATAATGTTAATTATTTATAAAAAATGACAATATATATTCATTGAAATTGGTTCGAGAAAAGCGTTAAGTTTTTTTATATCGCCTCCAAAATTAACTTAAATAAATAGCGAAAGAGATACATTTTGCTTGCACCAGCCACATTTTCCTTACGTCATCTAATTGCATTGTCTGCATCATTATTCCGATGCATCATCTTTCATCATTATATGGAAATGATGAAACAGCGAGTGGAGATTGAACATCAAATATTCATTATAGATATTTTACGAATTTAAATGGTGTAAAATTGATGAAAATGATGAGTATTGATAAGTATGTATAAAGCAGTGAATGTTTCAACATTCACTGGATCGTCGGGAACATCAGATGAGTCTACATGCAGGCCACATTTATTGTATTAATATAAAAAATAACAACTTATTTGATTTATGTTTAAAATCTTCAACGCCGACTCGCCTGTCTATTGAACTAACAAGAGATATTCAACAGAGCAAGTTGAAGAAATAGACAATTCATCCAAGACGTTACATATGCATTAATTTTCACACCTATTTCCTCTCTTAAGAAAAGGTTTAAATTAAAATTACATTTAAATATAGGAAGTCAAACTTTACAAGCTTCGACGAATAAGTGAAAGTTCTACATTATTTACATTCTGTGAGTACTTCGGCAATAAATAAATAAATAAATAAAAAATAAAATTGGTTGAAATATTTTTTTCGCGCAACATAAGAAATTTCTTCTGAATAGATCAATTAATGTCGTGAAAATACGGAAAAGAGGAACACAAATTATACCTACAAGTGCAAGCTTGTGTATGCATGGATACCTAAGTATACATGCATATGTATACATGTGTAGGTATGCATTCATACGTATACATGATTTACTTACGCGCATATGTAAGCATGTATGGATTTCAACAAGTGCATGAATTTCCACCAAATTTTCTGTATTTAACGCTTCATATAACTAGAAAATGAATGTTGTTATACAGTCGAACCATCGCTAATAAATTAAAATTACTTCCTCAAACCTGCATTTTTACCAACCAACGACATCAGAAGAATATTGTTCGATCCTGAAAATTAGAGTCAATGAATTCTCTGGTTATTCACCACCACCCGTGTATGCACAAGCTAATCCTGCCATCTATTACTAACACATAACTCTATACATGCACACAGCAGACAAAAAGTATAATACACGTATACAAAAAATATTTCTGTCAGTACTTAATTTATGAACGAATTGTATTGCTCCTGCACATTTCTTTAATAGTTTTAAAAAGTTAGACTATATTCTAGAAAATTCATTTATGCTTTTTTTATCATCCGTGTTGATGATGATAAAATGATTTTTACTGAAGGCCTTTGGATAGTCGTCGAGCGGCCGCCGATAACGCGGCTGTAAAATTCATATCGTTCAGTTAATAATGTCGATGTATATGAATAAAGTTCTTGGGATAAAAAATGTCGAGTTCATGAATTATTAAAATTATGATCACATAATTAGCAGATTATTAGGTTAAATATCACTTAATTCTGAGATATAGCTTTAATAATAAATATTACATTGACGAAAAATGTAAAGTATTCGGATGTCAACAGTGTATGTCTCTAGATATTACATCGTGAATGTGATAGTGTAAATATTGTGTAAATTAACCTGTGTGTAAAAAATGAATGATAATCAGCATATAGTGTACGTTTTGGATAGAAATTAAACATGCAAGGAAATGCAATGATTTTGTGTTGTACACAAATGTGTGTTGAACACAATTATGTGTTGAACACAACTGTGTATGTTTGGTAAAACATATTTGATCAGATTTCTCAGAACTTTAACCTGGCCTGAACCAGAGCACTACTTTTTTTTCATTTCATCAAAATTTAAGAAGGTTTTCTCTGTATAAAAATATATACTAGAAGAAATATAAACGCGAAATATATATATTTCTGCATAAAAATTTGCAAATTCTGGAATATGTAAATCTTCTACTAGTGTTTTTATTGATTCTGTCATTAAAATACCAAAATTTATCTAAATCGAAGCTAGTTTCAAAAGAGCTTATGTCATCGTCGTTATCTTTCATGAAATTTTTAAGTGTATAAGAAATTTTGTGTGTAGTAACGCTTGTTATAACATTGCATAGCAACATCGTGTCCCATTCATAACATTTATACTTGATAACATTGATCATTCAGACATCATTAATGGTGAAATCATCCTCGATGTAGCAGCCATCTTTAATGTTATATTTATACAATGTTGAAACATTGTATATTCTGTATGAGGAATGACTGGGACTTTGTTCGAATAGAGGCGTACTTTTTGCCCTAGTTCGGGTCATCCTGACCCATGTTTGTTCGGCAGAAGGACGTATCAGTGCTACGCGTCAATAAAGCGTGTTACTATTGGGACAAAAAGTCCCACTTATTTTTCTGAGTTTGCGCTTTAATTAATGACTGATTTTTCTTTAAGAAATTCCAGGGAAATTATCCGCTTATAAAATTAGAAGGAAATTTCTATAGGCTCGAAATGTATGTATATATGTAAAAATGACGTCACACATAATTGTGTTATGTATGAAGAATTGTATGTAAATAGATAAGAAGATTTATTCTACGAGGATGTTTATTAAAAGAAAACTTTTGAATTATGTCGTGTGTTTAATTAACAATTAATTAGTCAAATACTGAATTCATTAATTGTTAATGGAAATTATTTGAGAAATAATTGAAATTAATATACGATAAGATGCGACTAACTTGATTTCATTCACGAGCTACATTATATTCAAGGTGATGATTAATTAAATGTGAATTGATGAATTGAAATTCATGAGGAGGTTAAAAGTGAAAAAACTTTGTGGAGAGGATGAATAAAAATCGCGTAGGTTAAATTCTACATGCGAAAATAGTGGTAAAAAAATTTAAAATTCCTATACTGATATTGAACTTCTTACGGCAAAACAATGCAATGGAAATTGTGAATTTGGAAACTGGAATTTTTTATTAAATTAATTGGAAATAATGAGTGCTAAAATATAGACTTTGGTAATGAGTCAAGTTGACTCACATTTTACAGTAAAGACATCAACTGACTCAAGGCTTGACTCAAGGCTTGACTCAAGGCTTGACTCAAGGCTTGACTCAAGGCTTGACTCAAGGCTTGACTCAAGGCTTGACTCAAGGCTTGACTCAAGGCTTGACTCAAGGCTTGACTCAAGGCTTGACTCAAGGCTTGACTCAAGGCTTGACTCAAGGCTTGACTCAAGGCTTGACTCAAGGCTTGACTCAAGGCTTGACTCAAGGCTTGACTCA